GGACTTATTCACTCCCTATCTTAGGATGTATAGCGATTGTGAGATACTATCGAAACAAGTAATACTGTTGAATAATTCAAAAGACTGATCTTTGAGATCTAATTCAAAGACAATGTGTCGATCTAATCGTTGCCCATCAATCATATCAAATGGATTTCGGAGAAAAACCGGAACTAACATGGCCACTACGGAAGATGCTTATCGAGGAATATTAAAATTTGATGGAGAAATGATAAGCAACGGTTTTGAGTATGCACCGGTTATTTTTTGTCAAATACTGCGATGGTTGATTGATATTCCAAAGGTTTTCAATTGCATCATACATGACTGAGCGGATTCTCAGCAACACACCAACAACTTCAAATGAGAAAATGCGATGAAAGCAATTGATGAAGAATTAACTGATAATGAGTTCATTACATTGGTCATGTTGAAGGCTGATTATACGAGGTCAGGAAATGGAAAACCATGTTAAAATCAATGAAGTTCTCAGATGATTTGGAAAACTTTACAAGGAGATTCGTTTCGAGATGATTTGAAACTCATTGACCAGTCGTTTTTTTGCACTACAAAAAATGACTGAAATTTCGATGGTTCGAAGTGCGGAATATTTAGAGCAGGGCGAGCGGAATATTTAAAAGAGATTTAGAGCAGATTCAAAATGTAGAACGTCAGGATTCAGTGTGTGTAATTGTGAGGTCGTTAGTGGCATATACATTAATACCTTACACCAGTTTGTGCTCAATTTATTGAAACATCCATTTAAATATGAGGATAGAATAGAAACACCTTCATATAATTTTCATGCATTCGCAATCGACATTCAGTGGCTCTGTGGGCAGGTTCGACTCATTACCGCCAAGCAAATAAGCCTAGTTTTTCTAAAGTCGATGGCACATTCCTGACTGTTCGTCAAAGTTGTGAACATGATATATTTTTTTGTTTACCTCGCAGCCCCTTTATCATCCACAAATATGGCCATTTTCGTTTTCCTTATTCTTCGAATAAATGTGCAATGGTTTTAAAGAGATTCGATAAATTGCTCCCCCCTCAAACTTTATCTCAGTGGTGCATTCAGTGGAACTCTTACGATCATCACGCAACTTATAATTCACTTATGGTCAGATAAAATAATAATTACTATTATCCATATCGGACTGGATACGTTACAGTTGCAATTTCTTCACTTTGTTCAACTTTTCTTGAAACTATCCATCTCGTCTGTCCATTTGTCAAACGAATTGAAATTCGTTCTATTCAGCCTTGCCACTCGTCCAATGACGCATTATTTGACGTTCAACATTATTCACTGATATCATAGTCCATCGGGAAAATTTTGATTGAAATCAAAGTTTTTATTGAACTCAAAATATCATAGTCGATCGGGAAAATTTTGATTGAAATCAAAGTTTCTTTGATTAATTTCTTCCACTTCGACGAACAATTGTTAGTTATTTTCATCAGCTATAATGAAAATAGTGCAAATATCTGGAATTTTTGGTTTGATGCGTAAACGTTGTGAAATGACTGACTATTACAAGTGCACGTTTCGAGCAGAAGAAGTGCGATCCAATGGGGTGAAAGTACTCGAAATTCTCATTAAGTGTTATCATTAAAGACATCCAAATGAACAAGATAGTTTGCCAAAAAAAAGCAAGAAATAAACGTCCACTTTTTAAAGAATAAACGCACCGATGTTATTTGATGTGTCGAATTCAGAAATGATGAACTTGAACTGAATGACTGAACGTTAATAGCGATAGATGTAACAGCAAGACGAATGGTTGTATGATATGGAGAGAGAATGATTAGAAAGGAGAAAGGACATTTTTTTTCAGATATGGTATTTCAGAAGAGTTAGAACATCTTCATCGTCATTCGGTAAGTGTGTAACAATGCGTGCTTGCGTGATCGGCGGTGGTGTAAGTGGGTTACCTGCGATTAAGGAATGTCATGCAGCCGGGATCGAAGTTGTGGCCTTCGAACGCACTTCGGATATCGGTGGATTATGGAACTACAGACCCGAAATGAAGGTTTATTTGACTGCATTCTCGTTGACTAATAACTGAATTGACAGTTGCCATTGCACAGTTACGCAATGTCGTATGGTCATGTCTTCGAGCGCTCGCATGCAAACGAAGATTTGGAGTGAACATTTACTTTTACTTTTTATTTGCTTTATCAATTGTTTATTCTATGTTAGCGTAGTCAGTGTTGTCACTCGCAGTTACTGTAGTGTTGTACTCGCCATCGTCGGCATCTTTCGCAGTCGACAGTTGTATCATCGCTCTACTCAATCATCATTATCGTCCTTATTTATTAGTGTGGATAAACTATATCATTAATTTTCTTCTTCGCAACAGCAACAAAATCCAACACCACGACAATCACAGACAGTGGTGATCAGGATCTAGGACTTATCAAGCGCTCAACAATCTCAATTCACGCCAAGTTCAACCCCCTGCATTTTTCAATCAACACTCAACTGTTCGTAATTGGCATCTATTCCTTCATTCGCTATATTCGATCTGAATTCCAAAAAGTGGCATCAATGTCGTCTAAGAATAAACTTTCATTTTGAAGCCTATGACTTACAGCCAGAAAAGCGTGAAGCTTATCGTCTAACGTGGATCGGAGCGCGCAGCTACACATTATCGGAAACGCTCGTCTCACCTAAAGAGCTTTCCGATCCTTCTACCACTTACATTGATCTCATCTCATTACTGGATCAACGGTATGACGACACGCGCAATATTCTTTCTGCAACATACGACTTCTATACCTGCTTCCGTCAAGATGGCGAATCTGTCTCAGAATACATCACTCGTCTCAGAAACAAGGCAAAATCATGTGGCTTCACGACATCAGTACTAAGAAACAATCCGTTGGAACGAGCACTACGCGATATGCTGGTGATTGGTATTAATGACTCCCGAATCCGGCAGCTTTTATTGAAAGAAGGCGACCCTAAGCTCGAAGACGCGGAAAGAATCGCTCTCACCACAGAACAACTTCAATCAGATATTCTTCGCTTCAACAACACTCAAGTTTCAATGGAAGAAGTCTCAAAAATCACGCACAGTAATGCAAATCAAATGCGACACTTCAACTCCACAGCAGTTCAACGCAGTTCAACTCCACAGCGCCAACGCAGATCGATCTCTCAAAGCAGTCATCAGTCAAATCGATCAACAGTCCATCGACATAAGATCAACTCAAACGCAACGTCGTCGCAATCAGTAAGGAATACTACCACATGTCAAGCCTGCGGTTCAGCATCACATCAGCGACCGGAATGCCGATTCAAAAATCATGTCTGTAATTACTGCAAAAACAAAGGTCATATTCAGCGCGCCTGCCGAAAGAGAAACAACGTCGAACAACTGGGTTATGTATCCTCGAATGTGAATCAAATTGCAACCAAAGCTTCCGTCCGCATCCAGATCAATGGCCAATATATTGTATTCGAATTGGATACTGGCGCAAACAGCACTATCATCCCGATGAGTCAATGGAAAAATATTGGCAGCCCAAAACTCTCGCCGACAAATATCAAACTGAAATCGTACAATGGCACACCTATCAGTATCAGTGGTCAGTGCACAGCAGACGTCAGTTATAACGGCAAACAATTCAGACTACCAATCATCGTTACCAACTGTGAAGCGACAGCTCTCATTGGCTTGCAATGGATCAGAAAACTCCACATCGACCTCAATCAACTTATTCTCGGTTCCACAACTCCAGTCAATAGCATCCAATTATCATATGACAAAGCAACGTTAGATCAACTCTTATCTAAATATCGATCAATATTCGCGGACCAACTCGTACATTGTACAAAAGTCAAGGCGCATATTCAACTCAGTCCTGATGCTGTACCGAAGTTCTTTAAACCTCGTCCGATCCCGCTTGCATATCTGGATGCCGTGAAAAATGAACTGGAAAGAAGTGAAAAGGCTGGTATTGTCGAACGAATCAAAACATCACAGTGGGCAGCTCCTATTGTAGCGGTAAAGAAATCAAATGGAAAGATCCGCGTATGTGGTGATTTCAAAGTTACCGTCAACAGATACATGGATGTTGATCAATATCCTATACCATCAGTGGAAGAACTATTCGCCAAACTCAATGGAGGAGAATTATTCTCAAAGATAGATTTGGCTGATGCTTACCTTCAAGTAGAACTGGATGAAAAAAGTCAAGCATCGCTAGTCATAATTGAATAGTCATAAACACTCCTAGTGGTCTTTATCGATATAAACGAATGCCGTTTGGAATTTCGAATGTTCCAGCTATATTTCAAGGCATCATGGATCAAATGCTAGCTGGAATCCCACATTGCGCAGCATATCTCGACGACATTATTATCACTGGACGCAATGAACAGGGACACTTATATGTGCTGGAGCAAGTACTTTCTCGAATCAGCGAATTTGGTTTCCGACGTCGATTAAACGGGTGCTCATTCGTCCATCGAGAAGTCACCTACCTGGGTTATAAAATCAACCGTCATGGAAAATCACCTGATATCAGTCGTGTCAGCGCTATCCTGAACATACCAACTCCACAAACAGTCAAAAACGTCGAAGCTTTCTTAGGATTACTATGGTCGTTTCATCTCAAATCTCTCAACGCTATTCACACCATTCAACCACTCACGATGTAAAGGAATCAAATGGAAATGGTTAACGAATATCAACAGGTTTTCGAACTCCTGAAGAAACGACTAGCAAATGCAACCACCCTCATTCACTTTGATCCAAATTTACCTATTGTATGGGCAACCGACGCATCAAATTATGGAATTGGAGCAGATATCTGGAGTAGATATTCTCCATCGCTATCCTGACGGACCCGAGAAACCTATTGCTCACGCTTCCAAAACAGTATCAGATGCTGAGAAGAAATACGCTCAAATCGAATAAGAGGCTCTGGCAATTGTCTATGGAGTTAAGACATTTCATCAATATCTTGCTGGCCGACATTTCCAGATGACAATGATCAAGGAGATCGAGGGCGTCGTATCAAAATGCGTTGCATGTCAATCACTCGCTAGTTTCCCCTCACCAAAATATCAGAGTTGGTCAGAACCCGAAAATGTTCAGTCTCGACTACACATGGATTTCGCTGGTCCATTTTGGAATGACAAATGGCTTATAATCGTTGATGCAAAATCCAAATATCCGATCGTCAAGAAAATGAATAACGACACATCAGCTAATAATAAAGCTTTGGAAGAAATCTTCGACATTTTTGGAAGTTGCGATACCATTGTCACGGATAATGGACTTCCCTTCAACAGTAATCAAATGCTACGATTCTACAACAGATATAGTACCGAGCATATCACCGCACCTCTAAGTAGCTCAGTGTAGTTATTCAGTGTACCGGTGTCAGTCAGCGTGTTCTTAGCGTAGTCAGTGTTGTCACTCGCAGTTATCGTAGGGGTTGCACTCGCCATCGTCGGCATCTTTCGCAATCGCCAGTTATATCATCAATCATCATATCTTATCGTCCTTATTTATTAGTGTGGATAAAGAATATCATTAATTATCGTCTTCGTAACAGCAGTAAAAACTAACATCACAAACACTCTGAGTCGGCGATGATATTATGAGATCATTAAATATCTTATTTTGCAATTTTTTATCCAGCAGAAATTCAGTATAATTTTGTAGCATT